TTCTATATTCTTGACATCAATTAGTTATTAACAAAACCTTCTACAATCGTCTGCTTTTAACTCTTATTATAAGAAAGTTAAAAATAATAAAATATTCACTCACAAATATAAAATAATCACTAATATTTAAACCAAAAAGTCTTTTATATCATGAGAAACGGGGTTGACCCTCTCTACTGCCCTTTTGACAAACAACTGTCTCAGGGCCTGGGAACAGACAGACTCTATTATGGGAACCAATAGACTTTGGAATCAAAGGAGAGGGTCAGAAAATAGTATGAGCCAACACTCCAAAATTAGTGCCAGAAAGGTGAGAAGCCAATGACGATAAAGAAGAATGTAAAAGTGCTGAATCAATTCATGATTCTAATGTCTCTGGAACTCTGGTAAACAACATGGAGAAAAGGAGCTTCCAGTAACTCCTTGAGGGCAGAAGATGGTAAAAGAACACTTTCTAACAAAAGTGTCTCTACACAATAAATAGCAACAACAAACCAGCCAGATAAAGAACTGAAGAAGACAATCTGACTGAGTTAGACATCAGCAAAATCCCCAACTACTCCTCAACTTGCTGAAGGGAATGTTGATAGGCTTCCAACAAAAGTTGGATTGAAGATAAATACCTCAGGACAGTCGAGAGAGTAAGACAAATCAGAGAAAACAATCCCATTGCATAAGTGAGTGGCAAATCACCCAGCATGAACAGCAATATCAGGAGGAAGAAGAAGTAGCCTCTTGCTGTCCTCTCTGCCAACAAGGAGTAGAATCAAATGCAATAGGAGAGACTCCCAAAACCTCACAAACCTGAGAGAACAACTGAAGAAAAGGGGTTGGATGTGACTGATCAAGATGATCCTCTGTTGAGGCCGACCTAGTAAAAGAAGGAGCCAGAAAAGTGAATCTAAATTCTCCCCAGGTGGTCCCAGGTCATTTGCAAAAGCCGCCTCAGAACCCCCCGGAGAGACAACCTTGGTCCGCATATATGTCTCCATCTCACAACAGATCATATCACAAACAGCTTTGACTGAGAATGACCCCTTCCCTGGCCGTTGACAAACACCATATAGTAGAGGTGGAAGAGAAGAGGTCTGGTTGGCCTCCATAGTAGAAACATTAAGTTGGGAATTCATACTCATTTGTAAATTTTTTTTTGTTGTTCTTAAAGTAATTTACGAATATAAAGGAAAATATAGCCATAGTAACACCAACCACGTTCAAAGTCACAATGTAAATTGTGAATAATCACAACTCTCCTGTTTATAGAAACCCATGCCGAATGATTTGGCTCAAAAAAGTGATTACATTATGTGAATGAGGTGCTTATATACAGTACCTAGATAGAGGGTGCATTGAAGTTGGTTGAGAATTTTGCAAATTAGAATTTGCCAAGGGCATTCAAGTGGGGTATAAAAGACTGGAGCAAGCAATTTCAATGCTTAGATGGGCAAAGAGTGGAATTCCTGGTGATTGAGAAATAGCTATAGTGTCAGTGGAGGCAAGTATGTTTTAGAAAGTACTGCTTCTGTGTGCTTTACCAGAAGTACTAAGTCATATTACAGTATATCCTGTATCTCTATTCCATTTTCTTAACAGTGGCATAATTTCTGCAAACAGTTTGATGAGCTACCAAGGCCAAGCTTCCAATGCAGACAGAAAGAACATATAATGTTATTGATATTTCTGTAAAGGACAATAGGATAATAAGAGAACTCAAAATCAGTCAGCAAAGAATGAGACTTTGTCCAAAAAAGAAAAACAAAAACAACTGAAAACTTAGCTACTGATCAATAAATTCTTCAAGCCAAAAGGTTACATATAAAGCATAAGTACCATTAGGTCCTTCTATTTTTCAGTAAATATTAGAAAGGAAATGTAAAATTGAATATTCCCCTACCTCAATAAAACTCTGTAGACAATCCTTGAACAACATAAGCTGATCACAAATTTTATCTTCTAATGTATTCTTAACTTGTGATAAAGTCATCTCTTCTTTTAGCACAGCAATAACATCAATTGGCAAGGGCACTGTGGCAGCTTTATAACACCCTAAAAAATATATTTTTTGCTCATGTCATTTGGTTAAACATATTCGAGGCCTATATACTGGTAATAATGATATGAGGTACAATCCTAAACTGTGTACATTTATAAAACCTGCTGTTTTATAAAATATGCAGAGTAATTCTAAGAAATTATGAGTGAAAGCAAAGGAGAATGTGTTATATATATATATACATTGATAATCATAAAATTCAAATATTAATAATAAAATCACAGTCCAAGACATTACTTCAAATATGCGAGTTATAAGACAAAAAATTACAAACCAACCAACCCCTCAGCTTTACTAAATATATCACAAAAGAAATTGGCACAAGGCTAAAGAAAAGTTTCTATTTGGCATACATATAATTTAAGGACAATGAAGGATCTGTTAATCCATTTAGATCATTTCATCTACTATACTAAATGCTAAAATAAAAATAAAACACTCAAAGCAAATCCTTATCATTCAAGTATTTGTCAAACCTTTCCATAAACTCCCTTAAATTAATTGCATCTACCATATCTGAAAGCAATCCAATCCAAAGGTCAATCACCCTGTTAGAAAAATAAAGCAATTATAACTGAAGATGACTCCTGACCATTTTTCCCTCTAAGCTGCATAGCCACACAAAAAACAATCAATTGTTGCACACTTCATTGTTCCAGCCGTACACATCCTTAGTAATGGTGAGGAGTCTCAACACATTGACGGCCTTAATGACCCTGATAGTTGATAGGCCTGAAGCCCAAATAACCAACTGATAGCACTGCAAAGCTGCCTAATGATCCAATAAGGTCGATGGTCTAAAAATACCCCCCACCCCCAAAAATAAAAAATACTGGTAGCACATATCCACATATTGTTTTGATACTGATGCATATGAAAAAACTCATTCTACACATGGATTGAAAAAATTAGAAGGAACATTGTTCCTAACCTGCCAAAATTTATATCTGCATCCCCTATTCATACCATTCTCATCATTAAATATGAAAAAAGATGATATACCAACACCATATATTCCCTTAACAACCTTAAACACCTCAATCAGATCCTTCTAACTCTTCTTTTTTTTGGGTTGCAAATTTCAAAAAAGCAAGTTTTGAAGGGATGCGACAAGAACTATCTGTTGTAAACTGGACAGCTGAGTTATTTGGAGACACTAATCAAATGTGGAAAATTATTAAGGATACATTTTTAAATATTCATGATAAATATATTTCTTGTAGAAAGAAAAGGGTGGCTGCAAGATAAAAACTAGCTTGGCTCACAAAGAGTATAAGAGATAAAATTAAAGAAAACCATCACAAGTTTAAGAAATGTAAATTGACTAGTAGGCTAGGAGATTTAGAAGATGAAGAAAGTTGGTCAAAAAGGAAACTAAGACATCAAAAAGAATGTATGAAAAAGGTTGGCTGAAAATGTAAATATTAACAGTAAGGATTTCTTTAAGTACACTATGGGTAAACAAACTGTTAGGATGGGGATAAGACCCTTGAAGGATAATAAAGGAAGGCTAGTATCTAATGACTGTGAAATGGCTGGGTTATTAAATTCTGATTTTTCTTCAGTTTTTACTAGTGAAGATTTAGGCAATACTTCTCATCTTGAAAAGTTGATAGAGGGGGCAGGGTCGGACAATATGACTGCATTAATTCTGAGCTGGTTAAAAAAAAATTGGGAAGTTTAAAAAATGATAAGGCTCCTGGGCCATATAATATTTCCCCGATGATTTTGAAGGAGGTTAAAGACTGGATATGTGAGCCACTTGACATCATTTTCTGCAAGTCCTTGAATAGTAGGCAGGTGCCAAATGATTAGAAGTTAGCTAATGTCACTCCTCTTTTCAAGGGAGGTAATAAAAAAGTGTACCAGTAATTATAGGCCTATTAATCTTACATAAGTTGTGGGAAAACTTTTGGAAAGTCTGATAAAAGATGCTTTGCAAAGTCATTTAACAAAGTTTAAAATTTTATTGGATAGTCAACATGGTTTCAATAAGGGAAAATCTTGTTTTACAAATCTTTTGACATTAGTTAAATAATTACTGCTTATTTAAATGAGGGTAAGGGTGTAGATTTGGTGTATCTGGATTTTCAGAAAGCATTTGACAAAGATAGAAGAGTAGCTGGATGGAAAGAAGCAGAGGGTTGTTACAAATGGAGTTCAGTCAAACTAGATTAATGTCACGTGGGGTACCTCGGGGCTCAGTCTTAGGATCATTGCTCTTTTTGATTTACATCAATTACATATATAACATTAAAATTTGAATTATGAACTACATTTCAATGCCACTTTTATTGGCATACACTGATAATAAAGTTGTTTGATTAAAGTTTGAAAATAACTCTAAAATGTTATAAAATCTGTAATGAGATAGTTAAATCTTCTTTATGAAAAACTGAAGAAAAAGTAGGATTTAATAATCCAACCATCCACAATCATCAGATACTAGTCTTCTGGTTTCATCTCTCAAATGTAGTACTTTCATCCTAATATTTTGCTTACCCTTAATGTAATTGAAGAAATCCTTACTATTTATTTTTATATTTTCAGCCAACCTTTTTTCATAAACATTTTTGATTTCCTAATTTCCCATTTGACCAGCTCTCTTGATCTTCTATAATTCTTCAAATCTCTCATCAATGCAGTCAATTTAAACTACTTATACGTATAATGCTTTTCTTTAATCTTATCCTTTATACCCTTTGTGAGCCAACCTGTTTTTTTTTTCCTTTCAGCCACCCTTTATTTTCTATATGGAACATGCCTATTTTGAATATTTAAGAATTTACTTTTTAAATTTTTCCATATTGGAGATCAGTATCTCCAATTAATTCATTTACCCAACTATGTGATAATTTGTCACATCCCTTCAATAAAGCGGGAAGTGTCTAGAGATATTTCCTTGTCATAAAAAAAAAAGAGATTATCTAGGATACTTAAGATGTTGGAGAATAAAGAGCAGTAATAAAATTCTTAGTGATCAATTATAATAGTTAATTAATAAAAATAATCTCAATGTATGAGTTAAGGTTTAAGTCACTATAAGGACAGAACACTGCCTTTTTAACATTTTTGACACAGGTATTCAAAATGCTGTCAACTACAGCAATTAGATCATAGATTTTCTTAAAGAACATGTTGCAATGATGTACATTGTACATCAGGGCTTCTTTCAGTTTACAACTACATGATTCATTTTTCAAATAATAATATATTTAAAAATGAACAATGACCCTCCTATGACTAACTAGTTATACAGTTATAATGTTAAACACAGTATTATTGCTGCTATCATTACAAATTCTGAAGTGATGTTTTTTTTCTCTTTAACGTATACTTTTGAATTTCCTTTATATAGTAATTTTCATTTTCAATACAACCTAGAAATGTTTTCTTCCTCTTTTCCCATTTATTTAATGCTGTTCAAATACACTGAAAGATTTTAATTTCATAATTCATTAAGATTACTCTTAGTAAATGTACTTTATTCTTAACGAGTTTTATATTTTGCAATGAAACAAGATATTACTAATTATTTCATTATTCATATGAATACTATGAAGAGTCTACCTCTGCTAAGAATGGGTATACTGAATAGATTTTGTAAACAAGAGTTATTAAATCTTTAATTCTTACTTCATAGATGAACTGTATTTTTATTCAGTATTTCAAGATAAAAGAATTAGGTCAATCTTAATAGAAATAACCATAATGAAAGAGTAGTTCATGCACACATATACACACAAATAGATAGAGAAGTATGTCATGGCCTCATGACATTTGATAGACAGAACAACTTAGATACTGATAAAAAATATTCTAGACAAGTTTATGTGCCTATGAGGAGTTAACTTTTTCATTGGTATCTACTGAAGCTTATAACTGAAATTAACAAGACTCAAGTTATTTGCATAACTCTTGCTTGTGTTGTTTTTTTCCATACCAGTGCTCCGTGTTTGTGTGTGTGCTGCTCTTTATAATGAAGACAATATAATGCACATCCTGGCAATCTATTTATAGGAGATCTACATACTTCTTGGTGTAAAATTAGTACCTGAATTCCTAAGTACAAGGAATGAAAAAAAAAAGGAACTGGTAATACAACACTGACTAAGGCTTCTTAAAATAACAAGTTAGCTGTAAAATAAAAAAATAAAAATGGCATTTTAAAAATTGAAAAAAAATGTGTTTTTGCAATGCAATTTTAATGCTTAACAAAATGTCTGACAACTTAATTTTCTCAGTCATTCATTGTTATCATTTGTTTCACAGCAAAGCCATATCAGGCTATCTGCTGTGTCCATCATGGAGAATCAAACCCATAAATCAGACTATTACTGATGCTTAATTTAGGCCCTGTATATGTTGTAAAGAGACTAAAAATGGTGACAATTCAAGCTAAGAAGAACTACATCAGTTGTCTTACTTGGTCTCTGTAAGTAAAATGGATACATTATTTAACCTGAAAAAAATGGTTAAGAATCTTAAAATCAAGGAAAAGTGAAAAAAAGAAGTTAAAGAGTAAAACCACAACTCTCGCACTTCTGCACAGTTATTTGAAAAACATAAATAAATGTTTAGCAATATTCAAATTCTTTTTTTAACTCTTTCTAGACTGGGAAAGGAGGGGGTTATTGATATCCCTTAACTTTTTCCTTCTCATATTGAAAATACATAACTAAATTGCATCAAATTTAAGACAAATTTACTGAATAGTATCTAGTTTGGGGTTAAAAAAGTCATATTATTTGACTTAATATTTCTACCATTTTTTAAGTCATGAAATTTCTAATATTCTGTTGTTAATATTTTTTGAAAAACTTCAAAAATTCTCCCTTTCACCTTACAATTTATTTATTTTTATAGTTCATCACAAAATTACATTTTACATATCCATGTAATTTCAACATGATTGATTTTTGTTAACATATTTCGTTTACAACTATATTTTGTCACTGCAACAGATACCATTTCTAGCTAGAAACACACCTGGCACATAAATAAAGATTTATCAGTGACTTGAAACCTGACCTTTCAAAATGGTGTCAGGTCAGGCTAGGTAACATTATTGTCTAACAATATTTTTGATTGGAATCAATTGTTATCTAACAAATACATTTTGTTTTCAATAAATTATAATTTCTTGTACAAAAACAGGGTAGAATACATTATATTAAAATAATTTTGAATACGCAAATCAGCATCAAACACAGCTTATAAAAAGTTGAAGTGGAACAGAATGTGTCAGAACTACATAATAAAATTGGTTGGTATTCGTAGGTGATGTGATGCCACTGAAAATTCCTCACTTTCGGGAAAGGTATACAACAGCCTTTTCCAATAAAAAATATCATACACTCATATCTTAAAGATATGTTCAGATCAAGGATTTAGAATTTTCAAGATGAGGATATTCTTTGTACTTAATGACACTGGAAAATAAAGGAATATGGATCAACTTGGGGATTCAAGACCATTCAGCTAGAGACCTGCAACAAATCACTTCAGCTGTGGTAAGCAAAGAGCAGCATCTCATAATGGGTGAAAATCCATGAACACAAAGGTAAGTGACAAAAGCCATCCATCTGTCCCAGGCAACAGTATGCAACATAATCAAGAACATTCTGAAAAACTGACACAAGATATCCATTCAACTATCACAATTATTTATCCTAAACAGCCTTAGGCTCCTAAAAGGTTCACATCGGCTTTCATATAATTTTATTGTTTTCTTACTATTTGAACTATGTCTATCTAGTAAACAACCTTAAAAAACCAAAATCACCTGGTAAGAGCACAGAAATCTTTAGAAATTTAATTTTTTTCATTTAAGTTTCTTACCTAACCTAATGAGTTTCTAATTTTTTTATTGTAGTTATTTTTATAAAAATAAATAATAAAATATACGTAAAAACTAGAAATTAGTATTTTTATGTAGGTCTCGTACCTTTTTGCTGTCGAAGTCTCAATGAAAGTTAACTCCAGTTTTCGTATCTTACATAATTTATATTTATTTAAAACATGAAGCTTAAGACATAAAAAATAGCAAATATAAAGAAAACAATACCCTATAAATATTATAATTTAACTAGCTTTCTATTTAAGTGATAAGTAAGTTAAAATAATTCCGTTACTTAGACAATGTGTTCTCAATCATTTTAACAATGAATCTGTATGCTGAATAATTCAAACACTATTGTCAAAGAGAGATAGCCTTATATAGTCAGTAAGTTAAAATCTTCTCTTTCTATCAGTTACAGATAATCCAATAGAAAATATAAGAGAATTATTCACACTTTCTGAAATTAGAATGTGCTAAGAGGAAATATACCAGTGGATTTCAATATATTACATATATCTCATTACATCAACATGCCTAGATGTTACAAGTTCACATTTTAGCTCAGAGTACAGTACAATTTGGACTTCATGGGAAGAAAGATAATCTAAAATTGGCAATTCAGAGAAGTGTCATGGGAACAATTGAAATTAATACAATATTAAAATTTGAATTTTAAACTATGTTTTCATGCTAAATTGGAAATAAAATTAATTAAGTTTTGAATGCAACTCTGTAAAAGGTGGTGACATCCACATTTTGACCCTATCTGTATGCATAGGATTAAATTACTACTGTTTACCCTCTAAAACATTTCAATGTCTAAAGACTATTAAATGAAACAAATATACAATAGTTTATTGACACATTTTTAAAATTTAAGCACTATTAAAGAAAGGTTTTTGTTTTTTTTATCATGAAGAACACAATGATAAAAACTTTGTTACATATCTTTCAACGATAGCTAGAATATATACTTACTCCTCTGAAAATGAATTGTAGGAGTGTAAATCGAAATATCTGAGAGAGACTCCTGACCAGTTGCTTGTATCATGATATCAAAAGACAGAGGTCTCTAGTTGAACAGAAAAAAACAGTAAGTTATTCAATAATTGGAATTTTTATGAATTAGGTATATATAAAAGGAGCAAAAACTACCTTTCACCTTCTAACTGAGTTAAAAACCCAAAAAAAACCCTCTTACTAAAAAATTAAAGTCTAAAGCCATTTAATTAATTTCTTCTATTTAGTTATTGCCATTTTTTGTTTTTACAATTTATTGTCACTAAGAGAAATCAAATGTCCAAAATTTAAATCCTTCATGAAGTTATACAATACATCAATAACCAAGTGAATTCTCCATTTAAAAAAAAAACATTTATTAGTCTATCTAATGATATTTTGAAAAGTCCACATCAAATGTACTACTAATTAGGGGCAACAGATAATGCTTACAAAACTGCATGAAGTTGTATAGTTTGATATGTAAGTAATAACACTAGATAAAAGTTTGTTGCTTTACAAGTTACAAATGGTGTAGAAAACACTTGTAATGTTATGTAACTCAACATGTGCTACTTTCATAGTATATAAGAACTGCTAAGATTTAGACTTTGCCAGTTAATCTAGTTCACACCATAACAGCTGTTGTTCATGCAACTGAATAAGAAAAATAGTGTCTCAAACACTCCTGTATCTGTCATTTCCCAGCCAGCCAGATAAGCCATGGTAATTGGTGAAAGGTTTCACTGGCTCTAGGAATATCAGATAGGGTGATTGATATATTGTTATACATTTGTCTTTACTTTCTTCATAAGTTCTTAGAAATCCAACAATGTTCCAATGCAGCTGATTTATGTTAACATTAATAATACATTAATCCACTGTAAAAATTTATTTATGATTATCAAAAAATACTTGGCACTTTTTCTTTTGACATTCCAATTACCTCAACACAAGAAAATGTAATTATAATAATTTAATTAAAACAGATCTCTTGATATACCTTTCATTACCATTGTTCCTGAACAACTACAGGTTTTAAGTTACTCCTTGACAATATAGTAGTATCCACATGTATTACGTGCAGTACAATCTCTGCTGAAGAAGGAATGCACTAAAAACGAAGTTAAGTAAAGCATAAGTATCTCATTTAACCCTATCGACACAGGTCAGGGGTCAAAGGCCATGTCATTTCGTTTGTTGACTCGCATTCAAAATTTTATTCAACTCCTATTTTATGAATTTATGTCAATAAGTTTGATATCAAATTGTAGATTACAATTCGAATTTTTGTATTATCCATTAGATAATTCATAATTTCAAAGCAAATATAAAAAAAACACAGATAAACATAGATTTTTGTGTGTCACATGGTATGTTGAATGCAGCATTGGTTCAAATTAAACGTTTGTGATATCCAAATACAAAGTCTATATTTTCTTAGAAATTAGGAACTCAACTTACTGATATTGACAAGCTAGAATATAAAATAAGACCTCCTATCATTTCTATTTGCTGAGATATTGCTATATTTACTGAATCAAACACAGTGAGCCCTGCCCACCTCTTTCCATTTTTCAAAACACTTATGCACACCTACTTCTGTATATGACAAGTGAATAACCAATTGAAGCTCAGAATATCCTCCTAATGGCTTTCTCAGCCTCTTTGAAGAATTCATGTGGCAAACTCTTTCTTTTCATGCTAGATTCCAAATAGTAAGGTCAGACTTTAGTGAGCTTGAAATTTCATATTTTGTTTAGACCCAAATACAGCTTAGTTACTAAGCTTGATACATTATAGTGGAATTCTATGGTACTGATATAGTAATTTATAATTTTTAGTTATTTTAAAATGTATATATAGAATCTATAAAAAATCATTTCATTTCACATCTTCCACGTGCAAAATTTGATAAGGCTTATCAACCTATGGCAAGCAGCAAAATTAACATTTTCCTAAACTCAAAATGTATTTCCAATAATACTTACCTCCGCTAACACTATAGCTATTGCTTGATCTCCAGGGATTCCAATCTTTACCCATCTAAGCATTGAAAATGCTTGCTCCAGTCTTTTATACCCCCACTCAAATACTCTTGGCAAATTCTAATTTGCAAAATTCTCCACCAACTTCAATGCACTCTCTATCTAGATACTGTATATAAGCACTTGATTCAGATAATGTAATCACTTTCTCAAGACATAAACCAGGTTTTAGTGGGGAGGTAGGGCAGGAGAGTGTCAGCAGAGGCAAGTATTATTGGAAATACATTTTCAGTTGAGGAAAATGTTAACTTTCAAAACATACTTACCTCCGCTGACACTATAGCTAGAATTCCACATTGAGAAAGTGAACATTCATCCTCACTCCCCAACCAAGTGGACAAGGAGTATTACGCTTGCCCTTGGAAGTATAGAGATGATGTGGAATCTGTGCTCAACCAAGGACCTAGGATGGGACCCCTGCTCATACAACATACAAAACTGACATTGATCAAAGAGAAGGGCCATGCACTCCTCCAACCAGATAGCTTTGTGTCAAATTTGAACCAGAATTACGAGTAGGCTCCCCTAGAGGTTGGTGCTTCACCTACTGACATCTGGGAAAAAACATCCAGGGACCCAAGTAGGAGGAACCCCAACTTCGCCCTCTTCTCTAAGAGTGGATTAACACACTCAAACACTCTGGAGGAAAAGCCTCCATCTGCAACCCCAGTGACTGGAAACTGGGGGTGGTAAGGACTCCCGAGCTCCACTAACAGAGTTGGGGAGGGGGGGAGGTATACATGTTGGGGAGCCCTGAGGAACAGTGCTCTGGAAACTGTGCAATAGATGAACCAAATTCCCTACATTTTTAAAAGCAAATTGACCCCGATTTATTCAACCTGAAGATCAGCAGGGACAGGCAGGATCACCTTTAGCTTTACTCATGTTAGTCCATGAGTGGCAGTCCATAATAATAAGGTAATACCATTTGGCATCCACCTAGATGATCTTATAGAACACCCCATTTCAATAGAGCCTGTTGCAACCTGTAGTAATTTTAGTGAAAGTGGTTGCTAGTGCAGAACTGAAAAGCAAATGCATACTCACCACATGGTGGGATCCAGTGAAAAATAAAGGGACCCTGAAAAAAAATGTATATGATTGAGGAAATGCTCACCCCTGGTTAAAATTTAACAAATGTGGTCAAAATAGTTCCAGCGGGTAGTCAAAAACCCCAAGAATAGGAAACTGCTAGATCATATAAGTAATGACATAGGAAAGCATGAAGAGTAGTCCACATACCAGCCAGTGCAAACTCTTCCACAGAGCACTTCAACCGGGCAGCTAATGACAAAGAGATACAACAAATTTGGTGAGAAATGACAAGCAAAAGATTCTTTTCCTGTAACGATAATCCATTATAGGCTATGTGAATCAATTTACGAAGCCAATGCATTAGAGTAAAGGGAGATAAATCATGGGACATAGAAGGATTCCAATGAATGAACAATTGATTCCTACTACCTCAAAATGAGTTAGTATGAGCCACATAACACTTGAGGGCCCTAACATTACATAACAAACAATCAAGATCAGAGCAGTAATAAAGGTGAGAAATGGCTGGCAAATAAATTGGTGAGAAGGATCTTTCTCTTTCCCTAGCTGTCAGTGTCTTTGAATGAAAAGACCTGTCAGGGTAAATCAGGACAAATTTGGAATTATAAAGAGTCTGATGCACATGGATTGCAAACAACTCTGACTGATGACATCCACAAGCCAACAACAACAAAAAATACAATTTAAGAGAAATATGAAACAAAGAACATGAAGCTAAGGACTCAAAGGGAGAATGAGACAATGCATGTAAAACAACTGTAAAAT